TGAGAAATAATAAGCGTTAGTAACTAATCGTAGATTTTTTTTTCACCTAGAAGGTTTCATACGTAAACTATGTGTTCTTTCTTTTTCATTCCCATTTCTCAAGTTTTTATATGATAAATGACATTTCATTTAAATACCAAAACATCCACATTTTGACTAAAATAAAAATGTATATATCAACCATAGTTCAAAAGATAAATATATTTATCATAAAGCATAAAAGTAACCAAGAATCACGATAAAAAAATGTTTTAAATTATCTGGCTCATGAATACTCTGATGTATATAATTAAAAAAAAAACAAGACATATTTTAAGTGAATAACTTACTTGTTCGTGTAATGCGCCCTTCCTGAGGAGAAGATTTTCAAAATTAGAATAAAAAATATGTAATAAAAACATTTTATCTAAGTAAAATTGATGTCTAATGAATTAAATTTAGTGGAGCTGGCTGTATATGTACTAAATTTAAGATAGGAACATCAATATTGTACCTACTAATTAGCTGGTAAATCAGGCCAAAAGAGAAATATAATAGTCTACTTAGTGTATACAATAGTACTTAAATAATTGAAAGATATTATTAAAAACATTAAACAATCTTTATATTAAAATATTTGTTGTGAATATGTCATGCATGATGTAATCATCTATATAATTAATAATTAATTTATAAATTAAACATATACCATTGTTGTTGTTGGAAGAAGTAACAAAACGAGGAAGCAAATGAACTAGGATCCACATGGCAATGCTAATTCTATATATACAATTAGGACCGTTAAAGACTTTAGTGACTTTGAATGTAACGATATTAACTCAATCACCTTCGAAAAATATATTGCAACTAAATGCATCTTTTTTTATAGTGTCTCAATTTGATGTGTTCCTGAAAGTTTCAATCTAGTTGACTATGAAAACTAATCGTATTGTCGATAGAAATGAATAGACGTATAGTCAGATCTCTTTATAACTATATCGTTTATTGTTTGTTGTTGTAAAATATTATTATAATGAATCTACAAACCTACCATGAAGATCAATTTTTTATTTAAAAAATAATTATTATAATAAAATATCATTATAAAAGATAAATATTATAAAGTGGTTTAACAATTTTTATTAAGTATAAGTTAATAGATGGGTAAGATCATTACTTACCTATTATTAATTTGATTTTAAAAGTGAAAATCAAACATTATTTTTATTTTTTTATATGTATAAGAGATGTATAAATATCTTATTTAATGGACCCATGAAGTCGACATAATTAAGTGCTTCAATATTGACTTTCAACATTTGACTGTGTACGTGTTTTTTGAAAATAAGTACAGTTCTTCCTGGCTATTTATTTTAAATATTTATCTTTAATTACATGCTTTTTCAAAAAACAAAAATACTAATTAAAAACTTATTATTAACTATTTTAATTTAATATTATTTTTTCTTTTACCATTTCAATCTCTTCCAATATTTATTAAGTAAAGATAATAAATACTTCTATATTAATTTTTTTATAAAAATAACAATTATTTTAAATTTTTATGTAGACAAAATTTTTATATTATTATAAATAAAATTAGATCCAATTGAATTGACCTTATCCCTTCAATAAAAAGCAAGTAAAATTAATAACTACTTTTCACCGATCTTTAATAAATAAATATTTACGATCATAAATTTTATATTAATATAAATAAATATTTATAAAAATAAATTTTATAAAAATTCTTAATTTGAAAATTTTCTTTATGATAAATATAACTTCTTGTTTCTCCTTCATCCTTAACCAAATGTTTCGGGTTCGAATCCCTTTAGTACGGAGTCACCTTTGTTAAGAGCGATTTACACCAATGTGAGACTTTTCAGCGCGAATCCAAATTTAGTCAAACTCTAATGTGAATATTGGACACCGGGTGAAAAAAAACTTCTTGTTAATCGATTGGCCATTGATTCAAATTCGGGAAGATTTAATGGATTCTGAATTCTTTAATTCAAAATAAAGGAGTTCCTTTTGCATTTAAGAGTAAATAACCCGTTCTCTATTTTTGTTCATAATTTAGAATCATAATTTCAAATCACATATTCAAACGCGGATAAAATAGAATGGTTACTTTATTTAGTTTTAACCATTTTGATTTTTGTGTGTCTTAGTACGCGGAGAAAGTAAAAAGGAGAAAACACAAAACAAGAGTTATTGCCTATTGGTCGCCCATGCGCTGACACATACACAAGAGCTCTAGAATTCTCTTATCGCTGTCATTTTTCTATACGATCCAAACTATATAATATAATATAATATATCTATTATTATTGCTTGCTTTTAAAAGCATCCCATGCTTCCCACCCATGTTACACAAATCTATTAAATAACATGTATAACAATAAAATATGAAGACAATGTCTAAAAATATATTTGACTTTATCACTATTTCGCGAGTTTCATGTTTTGATTATCAGTTATTATTATTTTTTATCTGAATCATCATTAGTTATGTGTTAAAATACACCTAATCGAGTAGATGATGTGAAGTTAGTGATGGATTCAAGATTTTTCATTTTAGGGGTTCGAAAAATAAATTAAAATGAAGTACTCGAGATTTGAATTTGAAACCTCAAAGTGAATTTGGAATTTCCTATACCATATGGCCAATAAAACCACACCAAAAAAATAATTTTTAACGGCAATTAATTAATAACAATAACTTAATTATCACTAAATATGTATTTTAGTAGAAATTAGTACTCTTTGTAAATGTCCGTAAAACCTGTAACGACATTGAATTTATTGACAGGTAACTAATGCTGGTCTCTTTAGGACTTTTTATTAGTGTGTATATTAGTTACCATTAAAAATTATTTTTGTTGTAGTTAACCTCTAGGTTTATGTTCACGAGATTCAAAATCTCTATATAGACTAAAAATATCTTGTATATACAATGCAATTTTTCATCGAGGGGGTTCAAGTGAACATCTACAACCCCTTCTAGATCTGCACGTGTGTAGTTCAGGTAGAAAAAGTGAACAACTGATAGTTGACCTAATCACTTCGAATATATTTTGATATAAATGGGATATAAAAATCAGTGAGAAATAATAATTCAGATAAAAAAAAATTTAAATTAATTCTAAATTTAAAAAAATAGATATAATAAGTAGTAGAGATGTGATGTACTTTTATTTTATATAATATATCCTTGTTTCTCTGTCCTATACGAGATATTTTTTTACAAAAAGTTCATTAATTGGCAGATGTTTATCTGTCCAATAAGGGTGTAACAGGTTATTAATTTGTACGATTATGTTAATTACTATATTAATTAGATAAAAGCAAATCTGATATAACAAATTAAATACGTACAGGTGTTACTTTATAACCATGTTTAGGATTTCATCTGAATATTTATTGTTAGTTTATATTAAAGTGTAAAGAGATCTTGTATAGATTCGAATATTATTTTACGTATGTGACAGACCTAAGTGGAGAAGACGGCATTAAAAAACAATTCTAGTTTTTCTTTTTTTGTAAATAAAATAAAGTGAATATTTTTGGTTTTATATAATTTGTTCAAGCTTATATTATATTAAAGAAAAGTCTTGTAAAGTAACAAAGGGGTGCATAATTTTACTTTGGATTATAAGTTCGAATTTCAAGTGTAATATTTTATTTAATTTTTTAAATCCTTCTTTATTAATATAATTTTTTATTTGATATAGTTATTTGTGGAAATATTTTGCATTAATAAGAAGTAACCGTTTGTTATAATCATATTTTTAATCTATTATAACTATAGTATATTTCCTTTTTACGAATTACTCTGTTTATTTGAGTGATACACACGTCAATATTATATCATTCAATTAATTATGCTTAATCCCAAAAAACTCATATGGTAAAAGGAATAATATGGATAAACCTTATATTAATGTTTTTCCGGATGATTTAGTTGGTTCGAGACTCTGAAAAATTACACAAATGATCTGAAATCGCTTCTTCCTCAATATTTTCTAAATCGAACATGTCGTATAAGGTTTATCTAATACGATTTACATAGATCGCTTCTTTTTTTATGAACAGTGGATGGTTATTACCCAATCTGTGGCAAAGGATATAAAAACTTGGGTTATCTTGGAGTTCTAAAAAAAATACTCTCTCCGTTCACTTTTATTTGTCATGTTGCACTTTTTGAAAGTTAATTTAACTAATTTTCAAAATTAAATTAGATTATATTAATTTGATATTTTAAACAAAAAATTTTAATATTCAAAAACTATACGAAAAGTACTATAAATTACAATTTTTTGTATATCAATATGATAAAAATCTACGTCATAAAATGTTAGTCAAAATTTTATAGTTTGAATCTAAAAAATGAAAAAAACTATGACTATTACAAGTGAACGAAGGTAGTACTAATATATGATATTTTAGCTTTCTATAAATATCAACTGGAATATTCCCCAAGTTACTGAAGTCCTTCCCAGATAAAAATATAAATCCCTAGTGACATTTACCATGATAAAGATTAGGTGTTATTATTTGAAAATTCCAAAGTTTTCTTTTACCATTATAATTATGATAAAAGAATTTATTTTAAATCATTAGTTAACTTTTTATCTTCGTCAAAGGTCACACTATTTTTCCTAGTTGACTTGTATAATTATGTTGACTTATATTTTTTTATGTAATTTTTAAATATAGAAATATTATTTTATAATTTATATCTTAACAAAATTAAATATTTTGATTTTCGGTACTCTGAACTCATTCACATAAATTACGACGAAAGAAAAGAGAATAACTAATTGTGAAGTCAATAGCATAAATAAGTTACGAAGTTAAGTGATTATGAGAAATCATAAATTTCAAATCTTGAATCCGCTTAAAACGATATACACATTCCAATATGTACAATATTTTAAAGATTTATAACTTCCAATTATAGTACTACTTGTAGTAGTCTATTACTGCAATAAATAATCCTCCTATCTTCTCTCTCTTTTATCTCCTCCCATCTTCCTTTCTTAAAACTCTCCATTTCTCTTTTTTCCTCTCACTTATAGCAACAATCTTGATCCATAAAAAAAAAAAAAAAGAGGCTATTATTTAAATTTAAATTTGAATTCAAATGAAGATTCAATGTGATGTGTGTAACAAGAAGGAAGCCGTTGTTTTTTGTACAGCGGATGAGGCTGCTCTTTGTGATGATTGTGATCATCGTGTCCATCATGTTAACAAACTTGCTAGCAAACATCAACGTTTTTCTCTCCTTCAACCTTCTCCTAAACAAGCTCCTATGTGTGACATCTGTCAGGTATAACTCGACTTTAAAAGCTTTGTTCTTAAAGTACTTGTTAATAATAATAGTGTTCGTGTCAACTTTTACACATCTAAGTTATTTAATATAGAGACTTATGTTATTACAAGTATCGACTATTGGATGGTACTATTTATTAAGGCTTAGGTAGATAGAAAGTACAACATATGATATGTTGTGAATTTGATCTCAAAGTTTCTTTTAAAAAAAAAAAAAAAAAGTTAATTAATTACAAGAATTAAGGGTGTGATAACATGGTTAAGACTTCAGAAAGCACCTTTATAATTATTAGTAATGTCACTATCGACCTTAGTCTTGATTTTTTGGTTGCTTGAATGTTGATCACTAGTGGCGGAACTAAGTAGTGGCAAGGGTCTTCAAATGAATTCCCCTTAGTCAAAAAATCTATACTCTTAAATAGGGTGAAAATGATTCATTTTAATAATTAACGTGCTTTTTAATAAATTCCCCTTCATAAAAATAAAAAAAATACTCATAGGAGTGCAAACTATTGAATCTTCTTGACATAAAATAATGAAATTTAAAAAATCTATGCTAGCATAGTTGTAAAAGGGGGTTCAATAGTTGCTTTAGTCCATAGACTAAAATCCCAATTGTAACATCCTAGAATTATTCTGAATAGCCCGTATAAAATTTCTGGCTCTGTCACTATCGATGATGGGCTCTTTGACAAACTTGGTACATAAGAGGACATTTTTTTGTTTGATTTTACCTTGTTGATGATGGTTTTGTCTTGTTTTTGATTGACAGGAAAGGAGGGGTTTCTTGTTTTGTCAACAAGACAGGGCTATTATGTGTAGAGAGTGTGATATTCCAATACACAAAGCTAATGAACACACTCAAAAACACAATAGATACCTTCTTACTGGTATCAAACTCTCAGTAAACTCTGATCTCTACTCTGCTCCATCACAATTACAATCACAATCACAATCAGCAATTTCCTCCGCGGATTTGTGTGTTTCAAATTTGAAGTCTCAGAATCCCATTAGTAAGTCTGTTGCTGGTTCTGTTTCTGTTTCCTCCACGATTACTAGCAACACTAAGGGAGGAGCAGTATCATCCGCTGTGGAATCAGTGAAAGTTGTTAAAGAGAAAGTTGGTGGATGTAATAATAATGTGCAATTGGTGAATGGAGGGGGGAATAACTTAACAAGTAGTATATCAGAGTATTTAGAGATGTTGCCTGGTTGGCATGTTGAAGATTTTCTTGATTGTTCAACTCCTAATGTTTACTCCAAGGTTTGTATTCATGCTCCTTGATTTTTAGTCTTTTCTCTGCATATTTTGTCAATTGTGTGTTGGAACGTGTGATTTTCTCTTCTAAAAGTTGAAGTCACCACAAAGAGCAAACACATATTCATGCCAGGGCCTGATTTCTTTTTATGAGTCAAGCACGTGGAATTTTTTCCAAATAATAGTGGTGAGACTTGAGTGTACACTTTTTTTTTACCCTTCTCTAGGAGAACCCACAACCTTAAGATTGGAGGGTCCCCTCTTATCTAGAGAGAGGGCACTTTTCATGTCTCTTAAAGGATGGATGGTTGTGAGACTAGAGCTTTAGATCTATGTCTGTTCTGGTACCATGTTATAGTGTATGACTTCCTCATAGGAAAACTTAAGCGGCTAGAGAGCGTACTCTTTTATTTACTTAATTATCTCTTCTACATAGTGTAAAATATAATGAAAATTGTTCTGATCTGTTATTTTTGTGGTCATTGACAGAATATTGGTGATGAGGATATGTTGTCATTTTGGGATACTGATCTTGAGAGTCAATTGAGTTCTTTTCCACCACAAAATGTTGGTATTTGGGTCCCTCAAGCCCCTCCTCTTCCAGAGTCAAAGCAAGAGACTCAGATCCAATTTTTTCCTTCACAAAATTTGAACTTTGGTGGGAAAATTGGCCTAAAAGAATCAAGAGAAGTTACTAACATGAAGTCCAGTAGAAAGTGGACAGATGACAACTCATTTGCTGTCCCACAAATGAAGTCACCTTCCACTTCTTTCAAGAGATCAAGAACTCTTTGGTAGAAAATTTGAACGATGATCTTCTCTGTATCGTTCCAATTTTATACTGATGTTTCTATGCAAGGATGACAAGCAACAAATCGAGATGGCTTCTATAATCTTTTTCTCTAACTTGTTCATCACTTTTGTCTTCTTCTTTTTTTTGGTTTAGTTTGAACCTCAAAAAAATGATGATGACCCTATCTTTTTGCTACAATTGGCTTTGTTGTAGTTCTTAAAATCTCAAGTTTGTTGTGCCTCGTACTAGCTTAGTGCAAGGATCTTTTTGTTGATGTAAATATCTTTTTTTTTTTTATGAATCCTATGAATGGAAACTTAAGATTAGGTATTGAATATGTGACTAACAGCCTATCTCAGGTCATGTTCTTTCGTTATCTATATTTTCATGAAAATTTTCCTGTTATGGTTTGATTTTGATCAAAGATGTGACGGTTTAAGGAAAGTATTTTTTTAATCTTTTTGGTATGAAATATAAAAGAGGTAGACTAGCAAATTGGAAGTGTCTTTACCTTGTCATTGTGACGCCCATGATAGAGGGTGGACTGATTAGAGCTAATCAAATACAAGGACTGACAAGTTTCTAAAGAATGAGTGTAACATGACAACTTAATTAAGTAAGTTAATCCCACATTGGAGCGGGAGAAAAAGATAAAAAGGTTATAATGTATAACACAAGTTCACATGATACAAATACTTTTGAACTCGACTATAACATAGTCAAGGGGACAAATTCATGAGATTTATTAGGTCAAAATGAACAATACGTTACTATGAACTTAAGCCGTGTCAATCGTATGTCAAGAAAATTCTCTCTATAAAGACTGAAAAGTGGAACCTTGAACAACTTCAAGTTTAGTCCCAAATTTTGGAGTTTATTTTACTTTGATGCACAAATTTGGACACTATAGAATCTCATTGTTAGTCAAATTATTGCTCCACCTACAAAGTGTAATTGTAGACAGGCAGATCCAACATATAATTAGTGGGTGTACGTTGCATGAAATTATTAGAGTTGATTTTATGAATATTATAGATTTTATAGTACAGTTTTTAGAATAGCCTAGAACGGTAGTATCTAGGATATTCATTTTGAAGAAATGTCTAGATATTCTAGATAAAAGATAAAGTTATCAGAATTTTCTTGTATATGTATCTAGCAAATATCTAGAATTAGACAGGTATAAATAAGAGTTGTCTTGTATATTTGTAAATTGTAATCAACCTAATTTAAGAAGTTTTCTTCGATCCATAACCAAGTTATCTTTTCATAGCTTCATCTTCTTTAGTAGAATCCTCTGATCCTATAAACGATCTTAAATTTCTCTCCAATTTATATTTCCTTTTGTTATTCTCTATGCAAAGGGGCAGAGCTAGAATACAAATTGTATGTTCAGCCAAATTAGATAATTATTGGTCCGAATTTTGTAATTTTTAAAAAATATATTGAATATTTATAAATTATTAATTTAAAATAACTAGAATCTTTAACTCATATTTTGACAAGTCTTTTGCATTTATGGGTCAATTACCATGTGTAGCACATGAATTTGGTGATGAGATTAATGAATGTTTAATTAATTACAACAGCTTTGTTGAAAATGATTTATAATCAAACTTTAGAATTTTATTGATATTACAATACAAATAGCTTTTAGCGGTAACAAATATGCATATAAATATAAAGTATTACTTTTTTCGTCCATTTTTAATTGTCATGTTGCGCTTTTCGAAAGTTAATTTGACTAATTTTCAAAGTGAAATTAAATTACATTAATTCGATATTTAAAACAAAAAATTTAGATATTTAAAAACTATACGAAAAGTACTATAAATTACAATTTTTTGCATATCAATATGATAAAAAAAAATACATCGTAAAATGTTAGTCAAAGTACCTATCGTTTGACCCTTAAAAAGGAAATCATAACAATTAAAAGTGGACGGAGGTAGTAAAGCTTTTACTGATATTAGCTAATTGTCATTAAATCCAACGTCATTATAGGCTTTAAAGACATTTACAAAGAGTGTTAATTGCCACTAAAAATACATATTTAATGGTAATTAAGCTATTACCATTAATTAATTGCCGCTAAAAATCATTTTTAATGTAATGTGAAAAGTTTTAAATGAGCATTCTTTTATAGTGTTGTCACGACCCAAAAATGGACGTGATGACACTCGTCTTATCCCACCAAGACAAGTCAGCTTAAAACTCAATCATTACAATAAAATGCGGAAATTTTATTATCAACTCAAAAATACTCCTAAAATCTGGTTATCACGTGTACAAGCCTCTAAAGTATTACAATTTATTCAAAATAAAAACACAAGTCTCAAATGACCCTATTTCTAGAATAGAACAAGATCATAATTAAGGAGAAATAAGTTCTGCTTAAATGACAAGCAGCTACCTCATAAACCTCCACAAGAAGCCTTAAACAAGGAGAAGAGAAAATATCACAAAGGTCCAGGCTAATAACCTACAAAAATAAATGTAGTAGCAAGGGGTGAGTACCAAACCACATGGTACTCAGCAAGTAAATCTCTAAACACAAGCTAAGGGGATAGAATACGGGTACTCCTTACACCCCAACCGAACCTCCACAACTACAACATGCATAAAACCAGCCCAACCTAACAGTTCACAATTTACAAGCACATATCTCAACAACAACATTCTAACAATCACATATTCTCAACAACAAGCTCAATATTCATCAATTAAAACCTCCACAACTACAACCTGCTTAAAACCAGTCCAACCTAACAGCTCATAATTCACATAGCACACAGCTCAACCACAACACTCTAACAATTACATATCCTCAATATTTATCAATCAAATTCCACAGAAAGGCACTCACAAAGTTCCACAGAGAGGCACTCACAAGATCAGCAAAACACAATATCAAGTTCACTAATGATAAATATGTGCAATGCAATGGAATGTAATGTCAAGTATAGTGATTCATGTCTGACCTAGTGATACACACCCACTGTCTCTCAGTCTGGGACCCATGGGGGACATATTTGTCCATGCATCCATCGCGGCGCACGATACGACCCTCGATAATAGTAACCATTGCGGCGCACAATACGTCCCTCGAAATATAGTATCCATCACGGCGCGCGATACGTCCCTCGAAATATAGTATCCATTGCGGCACGCGATACGTCCCTCGAAATAGTACATCCTTCTTAATTTCTTATTCTTTCTCAATTCACATAACACTTGTCACAACCATGTCTCAGAACAATGCAAATGACATGCACAAATAATGAAGAGATGACCATTTTCATAATATTGCACAATTCACAACAACACAATCATGATACAACATCAGCAATGATTCAACAAGCCTTTCAAACCATTCTCAACACATCACACACAAACAATTAATCACATTGCCTTTTATTATCCCTTTTTTATCATTACAATTAATCAATATAGATAAGTCAACCCATCACCAAGTCTCATTACCCCCAAACACATATTACAAGGAAATACACGAATTTCATACACTTAACAAGGGTTTAGAAACCCACTTGCCTCAAATAGTCGAACAATTACTCCGGGACTTGAGCCTTCCCTTTTCGTTAGGCTTCCAAATCAATGCAATCTATTCAAATAATTAATCACAATAAGTTTTCAAAACTAACAACAACCATATTACTATAGGTCTAGCCTAGACCCAAAAACTTATACAAACTTAAAATCAAGTTCCTAAATTTTGATGCCAATTATCATGTCAACCCTCATATTTCCAAATTTCAAGTCTAGGGTAAATTTCCATTCTCCAATACCATAAATTTAATGGTATTTATATGATAGGATATATTTAATATTTAATTACCTATCTCAATATGCCAAAACTTAACTCATAATGTGATTATAATAAGAAATTAAGTCAAATTGCCAATCATCCACGAAAAGAACACCACCTCCGAACCTAAGAATACATACGTCCTCACTGTATCTCCAATTCTAATTATATTCCTAATTGCTAACCACACATAGTATAGCAATCATTACATATCAACAATTTATTAAATTATCAATAATCAAATCCTCCAACCAATATAATAATGTGATGATTTTCAAGACATTAAAAAAAAAAAAAGGCAAGAAACACAAACAGTACGCTAATAATTAATATCCTTCCCTTTGGTGCAAAACCAATTGCCACTGCACAAATCATTGGCAACAATTACTATATTGAACAATTTATATTCCAATCCAAATTCAACTATATATAGTATATTAAAGATTGTTCCACTAACGTCTAATCAAAATTTAATATTACAGAAATTCATGATCGCATTCGGTGATGAAAAATTATCACTTTAGCTTATTAGTTACAAATTAAATTAATTATTTAAAAATTATTTATCAATTAAATAATCGTAGCTATCGAATAGTTCAAAAAAAATTCTAAACACACTTTATCGACTGATCAGAAATTACTCGAGATAACTATCGAGAGGGATAAAACGGTAATTTTATAAAAATATCCAAAAATGACCTTTCGAGTCATTACGAGTGTGATATCATTAATAGTAAGTATTAGATGTTATTATTATTAGGTAAGAAATATATTCCATCCGTCTCAAAATACTTGTAATGTTTGTGGTATTTGACTATTTTTGACATGTTTATCACACATACTTCTGCATATTAATTATTGTACTTGAATATTGCAATTTGCAACCAGTAGATATTTTCTTATCAATAATAATTTTTAATTAACAAAGGGGTCCATCATGTCATCTATTTCCAAAACAAAAGAACATGTTTTTATTAACCAATTTGATTTAAAAATAGCTACACTCTATTATATCTCCTAAACAAAAAATGGTGGCATATCCTGTTCTTGGCATTCCACTATCTAACAATCATGTGGTAAATCATTTAGAGGTGGATCGAAGATTTGAAGTTTATAAATTTGTACGATAATGTTAAATTCATATCATAATAAGTAACAATTAAATGTGTTACTAAATATTTAATAAATTTCTTAATATATATAAGTATGTGTCCCCGTAACATTTTTTACGAACAGGGGCGAAGCTAGGGATTGAATCTCCTACGTTGAAAAAGCTATGTTGAACTCCCTCAGTGAAAATTCTGCAAAATAATCATGAGATATATCTGATATTCTTATTCAACTTTAAGATTGTTTTGCAGTACACAATTGTTGGGATTGGGATGTGGACGTTCTTTACGATATTATATAAATACAAACAAATGATTAAGCAACAAATCCGTTGTAGTCTAGTTGGTTAGGATACTCGGCTCTCACCCGAGAGACCCGGGTTCAAGTCCCGGCAACGGAATTA